TGTAGTTGGGAAAATTATTGTTGACTGGTGTTTGTTTTATGTGTTGTAGTTCACCTAAAATCTTTTTTGGGGAAGAGGAATTTTTGTGTGCTCGATTTACGAAGTTTAGTTATCACTGCTATTTTATACCTTTTATGAGTAATCCCTGACCTATCCTATTGAGAAAGCTCTATTCTTCCCTTTCTCAAAGACATCAATACGAATGGAATCAAATAACCAGGAGCCGGAATTTAAAATCACTTACCGTTAATTCACCTAGAAGCCAATTTTCACTACTCAGACATTAATCATGACAGTGCAACAACCGTAAAGTAATATCTACCTAGGCAGTGTTGTCGTCGACTGAATTTGGTCGTCACCAGGTGACTTATTATAGTAGCTAAACACATCCAAGCTTTGTAAATATCTACATCTGATGCTTCAAATAGAACGTGTCATAGACTGATATGATCACACACACATACGCACAAAAAAAAAAATATATATATATATATATATATATATATATATATATATATGACCAACACAAGGAATGTTAAAAGATTCATGTTAAAAAGATAAAAAACAAAAAAAACAAATGAAAACTACAGACAAAAGTTCATTTTCTCCAGTAAAACATTCATTTCTGTAGTTTACTGCTACCAGCAAACAGAAATATTTCTTCTCCTGATGATGGCCATTTTGGTCGAAACTAGTCGAGGAATCTAAATGAAATAATAATAAAAAAAAAAAAAAACGAAAGAATATTAATCTACAACCCAGTGTGTCTGAAGATTTTAATTTTTTAATATTTTTTTATTATTCAATATATATATATATATATATATTAAGACATTTTTATGTTTATACATATTTTTTTGTAGATACAAATATTTAAGTAAATGCTCTGTTTATAATAAACAGTATTAAACAACATTTACCGGCCTGGATGTCCGAGTAATTTTCATAGAAAGCATTCGTCCTCCGAAATAATTGTCGGACTTTGTCCATTTCATTATATATATATATATATATATGTGTGTGTGTGTGTGTGTGCGTGTGTGTGTGTGTGTTAGGAATAGTTTGTTGTATGTATGTTTTATAAAATGTTTTCATTTTTTTTTGTTTCAAAACACGGCCAAGATAGTATGTCTCTTACTAATTTTAACAGTTAAAATATATTAATAAAAACAAACAAACCAACACTTAATAATATTATCTTTGAATATGGACATATCTTGACCGTGTTTTGAAACAAAAAAAATGAAAACATTTAACAAAACATATATATATATATATTATTTTATATGCGCAGTACTTAGTGGAAAGCGCCCCGTATCAGTGAAAGAGCTAACATATTTAGTTGTGTGGATATAAGTTTGTGAACCTGGGTTTCACGCTTTTGCACTCATCAGACGATCTGGTTTATTTTCTCCCTTCACCCCCAAACATAGTCAAACAAGCATAAATAACCAATTTTAAATAATAAACCAGTTTGTATGATGATCGCAAAAGCGTAAAACCCAGGGTGACAAATTCATATCCATACAACTGAGTATATATATATATATATATATATATATATATATATATATATATATATATATATATATATATCAAGTTATGTGGTGCAGTTCAATTTACATTACAGGAATCATTCATACCAAAAAATAAGTTTATTGACCTTTATATTTTGGAATTATATAATTTACCTTTATATCCTTATTTTTTCTTCATAAAATGTTGTTTGGAGCTTTAAAATAAAAAGTTATTTCACATTTAGACTTTTTCTTAACATCGTCCTGATCTTTTTGCTCACTACTGTATATATGTTTATGTGCACATATGTGTATATGTGACTATATGTATATGTATGCCTGAGTGTATATGTAAGATATATATATATATATATATATATATATATATATATATATATATATATATATATATATATATATGCACACGTATATCTATGTATATGCGAGTAAAAATATAGATATGTTGTGTATGTGTGTATCTACGTATGTGTTTTTGGGCATATAAATAGTAGGTCCTTACGAGATTAAATATTCATTAATTTTTATATGTTTATGTTAAATTTGTAACCTGTAGGTGATATTACTTGCATTGTCAAATTTTCTTGATTACACATTGGTTCTCTTATAAATGCCCTTCGTTTTTAGATGACACCCCCATCTGTTTTTTTTTCCCTCTCTCTCATCTTCTGGATTTTAAGTTTAGATCATATCATTTTTTTTATTGTGCGTAGTGTCACCACAAATGTATAAACACGTTTCTGGTGTCTGTTTTTTAATTTTAAGTTTAGGTCAGCGAATCGGTAGCGAATTATGCATCGAAAAATAATTTATTTTTATCTGTATCTCACTCATTTAAACCGTTATTTAACTCCGCTTTTTAAAACTTCTCTCTGTTAAATTTTAATCCCCACCTTCAGTTTTAGGCCTTCCTGTTCTTCTTTCTTCTGTTACACCCTCTCTCTAGAGCTTTCATACATTTCCCTCTCACACTGGTTATTCCACTCCCACACATACACTCTCACAAAAAGTTTGTTTTTTATACCCGGAGTTATATTTTCCGATTTCTTTTTGAATTTGTAGGTCTGATGAATTAGATCGTGATTACGATTCCAATGAAAGAAATTATAACCTTGGAATATTAGTGTTTGAGCGTTTTTTATTATTATTATTATATATATATATATGTCGACTCTCCCGTCGAATTCGGCGTATAAGGGTCAAGCAAATCAGTTCCTAGGAACCGACAGCCCGACACCAACACATGAGATTTGATTATAGTGGTGAAGTGATGAAGGTTTTGTGCAGAACCATCCACACTTTTTGAAGGGCTATATATATATATATATATATATATATATATATATTGACGTTGAGATAGGGCTAAAATCCATTGAATTTACCACTTACCCGTATATCAAACATAATAATCCGAATTCCTGTATTTTAAACTGTGATAGCCAAAGCCCCAAAAGTTATAAAATAACAGTGATAACTACGTAAATCGAGCATCCAAAAATTTCTCTTCCCAACGAATATTTCTAGGTGACCTAAAACCCATAAAGTAAACACCAGTCAACAATAATTTTCCCAACTACATCATTGATAAGCAAATAAAATTATTCTTACAAAAAACAAAACACCGCAAAGCATCAATGTATTTTATTGCAACCAGATGCACAATAAATATAAGCAAGATGAATTTACTATAAGGAAAATCATTAAACACTATATTTCTACGGTAACTCCTGGGAGACATATAAAGTTCATAATGTATATTAATATTGCTGATTGATTTTATGTGTGATTATTTCTTTGTATATAAATTATATGCTGCCTAATGTTTTATGTTTATCCGCAGTACAAAAAAATTCCTATAAAAAAAACTACTACTAAGACATAACACTATATTAATTGAACTATATACTTAGTTCATGACATATTAACTGAATACACTTGTAGAAATTGAATACGTGGATTTACCACATCAAAAGAAAAGTTCAAATAAAATTCTCACTTAAAATTTTGAAAAACTTAGCGTTGCGTCTTTGCACGTTCCGATATTGTACACAACCGTCAATAATAGCATATTCTCGAAAACCATCTTTCGGTCGACAAACAATTATTTCGTCTTCAAGTTTTAATTTTGAAAGGAAAAGATATGCCTGAGAATGAATAAAGGATTATTCGAAAGTACTTGCATTTAAAAAAAATATAAACTGGAAACAACAGACAAGAGTTTTATAAATGAGGATCACGTCACTCTATGGATTAACAGTATTTTAATGCATAAATTATACACTACCAGCGATGAATGTCGACAATAATAGCATTAATATTGCTGATTGATTCTATGTATGATTATTTCTTTGTATATCTATCTATCTATCTATCTATATATATATATATATATATATATATATATATATATATATATATATATATATTATAGAAATGGAAGAGCAAAAACATCGCCGTCACAAATCGAAATAACCCCATCAAATCTAAACTAGCTGTGACCAATTACTCTATACAAGATGAGGTGCTTTCGCTGGTTCCCAGACTTCATGAATTTAAGCGCTCAACTAGGCTGGCATCTTGCTCTCACCCTTTCACTGTCAAAACTGTTAAATGTAGCCGTCTCTTCTACTCAAATAGCTTCATGTCTCGCACTTCTCGCCTGTGGAACTCCCTTCCCATTTCTTGTTTTCCTGATAGCTATAATCTGCAACTATTCAAATGTATTGTCAATCGATGTCTCCAGATGCTCTGATCTATCCCCTAACCTTCTCTTCATCCTTTCCTCTGTCACTCCTCTTTGTTCTCGCTACAACTCTGTAACTTTTTGCGTACTAGTGGCTTCCCGCCTTTCTTCAGGTTGAATGATTAAAAAAAAAAAAAGACTGTGTTACTCGTCAAAAACCAATGACCAATATCGGACACACATGTACCTCACTCAGCGAACGTCTTACTTGCCATCTGTCGCAGCAGAGTGCGATTAACAAACATTTATTAATTCATAACTTCCAAGTACCTTTAAGCAAAATTCTAGTTGTTAATACGAGGATCCTTTTTAGGTCACATAGTCGTACAGAGGCCGTCATTAAGGAGGCTCTTCTTATCAAACTTTATTCTAGCACTAACAATCTTACACTATTTAGCAGAGGAGACGGCGTGTTAAAAGTGTTCTAGAAATAGAAGTCTTGCCCAAGTCAACTGGCCGCGCATAGCACGGGAACGCCAAAAGACGCACAAACCGCTCGAACTCTACACTGTAAAATTACTATGGAGCAACCACACACAGAATTTCCCCATCCAAAAACACATCCTTGATAATGGCTAGAGAAGTAGCCGAAGGCGCTCGGAAAAGTTATGATAATTCCTTTATATTTACCCACTGAGAAACGGAAAAATGTTAGATTACTGGAATAACTCGATAGAAGTTTAATTAAATCTTCCTTGTCGACCGTTTTCAATGAATGATGCATGCATCTATCTATCTATCTATCTATCTATCTATCTCTCTCTCTCTCTCTATATATATATATATATATATATATATATATATATATGCATCACTGCTGCTCCTTCACCCATTTTCCGTCCTACTTAATCAACTCCTGCTGCTCTTCCATCGACTCGACCAGCTCCTTCATCCACTCCCCCTCCTTCTTTATCCACCCTCCTGCTTCTTTTATCACTCTCTCTACCGCTTCATCCACTCTCATGGCTCTTCATCCACTCCTCTCTCCTACTTTATCAACTCCCCCTGCTTCTTCATCTTACTTCTGCTTCTTTACACTCTCTTACCCCTACCTCTTCCTCTTCTTCATACACTGCCTCGCCTTTATCCACTCCTCCTTCAGCTCTCCTTGTCTCTTCATCTGCACCCCATCTCCTTCATCAAGTCCCCCTCCTTCTTTATCTACTCTTTCTGCTTCTTTATCCTCTCCTCCTACTCCTTCATCCACATCCCTGCTTGTTCAACCACCACTCCCACACTTCCTGCATCCACTCCTCCTTCTTCCTTATCAACTTCTCCTTCTTCTTTACTCACTCTCCCTGCTTCTTTATCCACTCTCCCTGCTTCTTTATCGTCTCCTCCTCCTTCTTAATCCATTTCTTCTTTATCTACTCCTCCTGCTGTTTCATCCACCCCCACCTTCTTTATTCACTCCGCCTTCTCTTTTAGCCTCCTCCTACTCTTTGCACCCTGAACCTGCTTCTTCCTTCACTCTCCCTGCTTCTTCATACGCTCCACTTCCTCTTTATACACACATCTTGCTTCAACTCCTCCTACTTCTTCATTATCCCCCATCTTTCTTTATACACTCCTCCTCCTCCTTCGTCTAACACCCTGGTTCCTTCACTCACTCCCTCTGCTTCTTTATTCATTCCTCTTGCTTCCTCCTCCACTTCCTCATTTTTCTTCTTCTTTTTTCTTTTTTTTTGTTTTGTTTTATCTCTGTTCAAAACACAATATGTCGAACTTTGTCTCTGTTTATTCTTCATTCTTATTTTTCCTCTGTACTTTGTGTCTCATTTCCCCACCCCCTTCTACACTAATTTCCCGCCTTTTTCCCTTCTTTTTCTTGACGAGCCATCTTCATTAAGCCTATCACTTAATGTATTAGACCTAAAAGACGATAATTTGCAAAGCTATCTCTTCTCATTATCGACTTCGAGCAGTTTTTTTTTTGAGGATTAATTTCATTCCATATAATGTACATCATAATTGCAGATTTTTTATTCTTTTCATGTCATTATCTTTTGTCAGTGGCTAGAGAAAGAATTCGATGAATATACCAATCAGAAAAGGTCATAAGACAAGGTTGTGTTGTATCGCCAGATTTATTAAACCTAGGCAGCGAAATGATCCTAAGAAATCTAGAATTTATTTTTGAACATAAACAGAAGATAACACTGTCTTGATTGAAAATTCAGAAAGGAAACTGAAAGATTTTTTGGACAAAGCTCTAAAGGAAATCAAGAAGAAAATACTAACTTTTAATCTATAAGAAAAAAAAAAGCATACATAGTTAACAGTAAAAGAGACAGTCCAAGGTGTGTGATACATTTTAGGTACGCAAAAAATCATATAGTACAAAAATTGAACTATGTTACGACGTAACAGATGACACAGAAAGCGAATAGGAAAAAGGAAAGATGTTTTCCAGAAACTAAGCAAAGTATTATGACACAGGAAAATATCGATTACAATGTAGCCGGGCTTGGAATGAAGTTTGCAGAGTGGAGAGCCCCTCTCATCAAAGAAATGCTTTAGAAATGAGAGAGATTCAAACCTGTGAACGTAACAGAGCAGACCTAGCTTGTAGAGGATTGAAATGGTGACCTTAAAGAATGGAGATCGTTTGAACGTTTTTCGGTGAAAAACCATACCTCGGGTTGATCTAAGCATTGTGAATGAAAATAGGCAAATGGAACTGTTCGGAAACTATCGATGGTTGTACTGGCATGAAATCACAAGTCATCGTGACTGAGGGTTCGAGAATATTAGCTTTGTTTAAACTGCTTACCGCAGCAGATTACGCGTTCTTTTTTTTTCTTCTTCTTCTTTTTTCAGCCGGTTACTTAAAGCCAGAAAATATTCTTAGATTGCCAGTATATATATATATATATATATATATATTTTTTTTTTTTTTTGGTGTTGGGGGGATAATCATGATTTAGTGAAACTGGTCATACTAATTAATCCATAATTGGTGATGAGAGAAGAGTTAAATTCATATCTTTCCCAAGGGCATTTGCAAATAAGTGAATATAGCGAACACAAGTAGATCTGGAACACAGCTTTCCGATTAACAATTCCGAGCCTTCCACCACCCGTATATCCAGCACCTGTGTTTTCCAAACAGTCACCCATCTAGGTCCTGACCAGGCTCTACGTTGCCTAACTTCGGTGATCGCCGAGAAACCGATCTTTCAACGTGATGTTACCCTAAACCCTTCTCCCAGAAACCGCAACTAAGGTCTTCTAAACAGAGTTGCAGTATATACCACAGGTTGGCTCTGTGTTGAACAAACATAAATATGCCTGAGCAGGAATCTTCAACATGGATTAGTAAGCTACCCTCGGGGACTCTATGCAGTCTCTCGAGATTGACGAGTGCCGAGCACTAAGTTTAGGCTGCTCTAGCATGCGGGGATACGTATGGAGCGATCAATGCGAATCGAACTCGTAATAATAATAATAATAATAATAGTAGTCTTCGACAAAAGCTTGTTAACCATTACACCACGAGGAAGTGCCCAATATCATATTTATTAATCTTATCTTGAAATCCAACAAATATTGACATTTGCTGTGTGTTTCAAACAGTCTTAGCTGCCGAGCTCTCTCGATAGGAATTACGGATAATCTTCGATGGCAGACCAATCATTGATCCGCGTTTTAATGTCAGATGCAACCATACCTGACAAGCGCTGCGGGTATTGTATGGGGTTTTTGGATAGCGGCGGTGAGTCGAAGAAGAATTAATGCGGGAAGGATGTTTTCATAAACCCACCTTCCGTAAACGCATGTGACATCTCCTGGGAACTACGGCACCACATCGATCCAATCGGCCTGGTAAGCTATCCTCTGTGGCAAAATGGAACAGGCGTTCGCTCTAAGATAAGATTCCAAGATGACTGCACTGATGCAGTTTATACTGAATTTAAAGATAAGTGCTGGTGACGTCATTTCCCTCGCTGTAGCCTTTTACATATCGACGTCAAAAGAAACTGGATCGTCTTACGCCTCTGATTGGCTGGAGCGCTGAGTACGCTTAACACGGGTTGAAAAAATAGGTTTACTCACCGGAAAACCTAAAGGCGCTTGGGGGGCAAAGAAGTTTCTCCAAGTTTTTCTTTTATTTTTTTAATTTAATTTATTTTTTAGTATTTTGGAAGAACTTTTTTTTTTACCGAAAATAACATTTGTTAGATTATTAGCTTGTCTAATCGATCTTTAAGAAGCTTATCTTAACATGGAATAAAATCAAATGTTTGGTAAGAAGATTGTGCTGCGTTAATCTTTCGTTATTATACATTGATTTATTCGAAAAGTTGTACTCAACTTTCTTATTATATTCACAAGGTTTTGACCTTAATGCTCAACGGGCTTCTTCAGGTGTCTCTTGTATTATTGATACTCTCAGAATTCCAACCGAACATTTTATTCAGCCCACAAAAATAGACAATTCTCTATTACGCTTTACGTGCACAGGGATAATCTCTTAGTTAATTCTTTATCGTTAATTCCTCCTTATGATGCTCTTTCCATGGAGTCACACCCTATGTGATCCGCTATGTGCCATAGACGATTTATCTCCCTTGAACAAGAACTATCTACACCAGTGGTTCTCAACCGTGGCAGTGACGGATTACCTTTTTTAAGTTGTTATAAAACATCAAAAGTCGGGAAGACACGGAGAGATGCAATAATTAGAAGGGTTAATAAGCCTCGGAACAACCAGATTCCTTAGTTAGGCAACCCATCACGTGTGGATGAGATTTTAGATCTCTCGATCTATTGGCATGTCATGCTATACATGAACGAATACCTCTCTTTTTCGCTTTCTTCTAGATGCGATAGTCCAACTACAGTCCCTTACAAAATAAAGCCAAATAAAAAAAATGAAAAGAATATTGTCTATCGTAGATGTTATTTACGATGTCGAGTTGAGGTCTGAAGAATTGAAACAGTTCAATTCAATGTATAAATCTATCGGGGTGCATCAGCTTTCTAAATGGGGAGGGTTTGTCTGCATTGAAAATTAGAATTCGAGATTTGTGAAGTGGGATCGAATTCTAGCTAGTGATGGCAATTACAAAAATATATCTAGGCCATCAGTCAAGTAACTGCGTTCATTTTCCTGACTATAAATCATAACTGTTTTAGATTTCACTGTTTACATTATTCGGACTATTGTCCTCATCTTTGTCGCCATATTTATTACAATGTTTTAGTCGTTGTACGCCCCGGCCTTCTTCAGGTGGTTGGAATTTATTTCGCTCACTGGTGTAGACTGTTCTAGTTCCTCAAGGACACATGGCACAGTCGATAAATGCGTTGGTTAGATCCAGTGACAGGAGCCAAAGAGTGTGAGTTCAATACCCGGTTAAGGCAGTGGAGAACTTTCAGAGGGAAATTAACAGGAGATTGATAATTGACATCCATTAGACATGACACGTGGAACTAGAACCGTCTACCCCAGTGAGCGAAATAAAGACTTCAGTTCGACATTCCTACAACCTGAAGAAGGCCGGAGAGTACAACGGCCGACACGTTGTAATAAATATGGTGACAAAGATGAGAAAAATAGTCCGAATAATGTAAATAGTGTACATAATACCTCATCTCAGAAAAATAGACAAATATTTTAGATTTATTTGAACTGTGATCTTTTTTGGAGGGTGGGGGTTATAGATTTTGTAAATTAAGTCACAGTGATTCAGTTTAATTGGCAGAGATGACCAACAAACAGAATCGACAAAGTGTCTAATTTATATAATATTAATGTCAGTGATTGCGTGCGTGGGCGGAGGAATGGCTTGAGGAATCGAAGAGCCGAGTTCGAATTTACTTACGTGCTAATACCCTTGGGAAAGGCATGAATCCTCTTCTTCTCCCCCAGCTACGGGTTAATATTAGACCGGGTTCTATAGCCTTGGATGGCAACTGATCTACCGCAGAAAGAAATGGCAACCTACTGCAGGAAAATCTGCCTCGTCAGTCATGTATCGATGTATCATGATCACCTAAGAGTCTATCACGCATGACACCTAACTGAGTGACTGATTGTGTGTGTGCTTGAGTGCCATCCGCTGCATAAGGATTTAATTTAATCCGATTTAAGTGAAGAAGATTTAAAAATTCGATTTGTTTATACAGTAAGTTTTTTTTTTACGTTAACTTTCCTCAAACAGACAATTTTTTTTAATTAAAATATTTTTGACAGCCACAAAGAGATCCCGCTTTGCCGTTATTCGTAGAGTAATTATTTGTATTTCATATTTCTTTAAACAAACAATATTTTAAAATTATTTTTTGGCATATTTAAAAAGTTAAAGTTAAAAGTTTATTCTGGAAGTTCTATTCCTATTAAATGCTGTAAACAAACAGTAAAACGCTAAACATGAACTTGTAAACCCGACCAATGTTGACACGAAAGAATTAAAGTATTTAACTGAATCATAATAAAATTAACTTTCAATTCAATGGAATATTGAAATCAATTTCAGTATTTTATAACCCGAACCTTCAGCGACCCAACGGGTCACGAGTCGTCTAAAAATAGAAAGAAAAGACAGGGCAAAAATTAACTCTATTTTCTCTCTCTCTCTCTCTC